TAAGAACCTGAAAGAAGATATACCATGCAGACAAGCATGAGAAAGCTAGCGTAGTTGGATTAATGTCAGACAAAACTGGATTCAAGACAGAGAGTATTACTAGACACAAAGAAAATCACACTAAAAAGGTAAAAGGGAGAATACACAGAGAAAGATACTTTATAAATGTTCAAATGTGACTAATGATACAAGGCTCCAATATATGAAGCAAAAACTAACAGAACCAAAAAGGAAAAATAACCAAATCCACAACGGTAGCTGCAGACTTTAATGCTTCCCTCTCAGTAACTGGCATTACAACAGGATGAAAGAATTAGCAGGGCACAAAATATTTCAATAATAATATCAACCGTTTTAAACAAATACAATTATAGAGCAGTATGCCTAATAACTGCAGAATATACATCCATTACCTGTGCACATGGGACAGTCACCAAGATAAATGACATGCTGAGCCAAGAAACACACGTCAATAGATTTCAAAAGATTGAAATCTTACTGGGTACTTTCTGACCACAAGTGAACTAAATCAGAAATCAATGAGAGAGAGAGAGAGAGAGAGAGAGAGAGAAAGAGAGAGGAGGGGAAAGAAAAAAGGGAGAGGAACCTCTAGTTTCTGGTAATTAAGCAATTTAATTCTAAACAATCCATAGGTGAACGAAGAAATCACATAAAAAATTTTCATATTTTAACAGAATGAAAATGAAGAACAAATCAAAATTTGTGGTAAAATCAGTTATCTAAGATCCTACTTTAGAAAGCTAGGGTGAAATTGATCAAAATACACCCCAATAGAAAAGAAATACTAATAAGACTAGAGATCAATGGAATAGAAAACAGAAAGAGAAAAATCAATGAAACCAAATGGTAGCTACCTGACAAGATCAATAATGTTGATAAACCTCTATTTAGATTAAGAGGAAACGAATAAGCAATGTCAGGAATGAAAAAAGGTCAAAATTATAGATCCTATAGACATTAAAAATAAAATATAAGATTAAATTTTTAGCAATTTGATAATTCAGATAAAATAAACAAAACATTTAAAAGACACAGATCAACATATTACCCAACTGGCACATGAAGAAATGTACAATCTGAATAGGCTTATGTCTATTTGTAATTCTAAACTTCACATGAAAAAATAGTCCCAGATGGTTTCACTGTGAAACAATCAAACATTTAACAAAGGAAAATATCAATCCCTTACAAACTTTTTTAAAAAAAAGAGGAAATACTTCCCAACTAATTTTTTGAAATGAATTACTCTGATGTCAAAACTAGACAAAGATACTACAAAGAAAGATTATAGCTCAATATCCATCATAAACACAAATGTAAGTTTTTAACAAAATAATTAGCAAATTGAATCCAATAGTACATAACAACCAAGCAGGTTTTATCCTAGGAATGCATAGTTTGTTTAACATTTGAAATGAATAGATATAGTTCACCAAATTAACAAAATAAGGTATAAGAAGAAAAAATAGCACCTGACAAAATTCAACACCCACTGATGATAAAAACTACAACAAACGTAGATATAAAAGGGAACATTCTCAATTTGGTTAAAAAACAACAAAAAAGAAAAAACCCTACACTGCACTTAACAGTGAATGATTGTTCTCTCCCTAAGACTAAAAAGAAGGCAAAGATGCGTCTACTCTTATCATTTCTACCCAGTATTGTGCTGGAAGTCCAACAAGTGCAATAAAGCGCAAAAAAGCAAGAGGCGAAACTGCCTTCACCTGCAGATGACATAACTGAGTGTACGGAAAATCCCAAGGAACCAATAGGAAGCTCTTGGTCTTCAGGAGGGGCGTTGGGAACGTTTTGCATCTTGATCACTGTCAAAGTTTCTTTGGTAAAAACCTCTGAAAAAACTCATCAGATGGTATGCTTACGGAGCAGTTTGGTATACATAAATTACACCCCAGAAAGTTATTTTTAAAATTACACACTAAAAATCTCCTATGTGAATAAAACAAAACAAAAACAACAACAACAAAAATCCCAAACACCTGGG